ATAAGCGAATCTTTTGGCTTACTGAAAAGTAAAATGGCATTGTATAGGGAAAGCTATAAAAGCCAATTTTTTTTTTTTATTTTCCTTACTTTTCTCTTCTTCCTTTCTTTCTCTTCAATTGAAATCTCAAACTTCTCTATAGAATTGTTTGAATGGCAACTGGAAAACCAAACAAATCCTAATTTTCGTTGAAAAAATGTAGAATCCGACAACAAGTTGCCAAAAAATTGAAACTTGGCTTTCAGAATCTTCAACAAATGCAAAATTTTTCCAAAAAAAATTACAAAAATTAAAAGAAATCCCAACGTCTTAGATTTCAACTTGTCTCTTTTCCTTTCAATCCCAAATCCCTTAAACACCTTTCAAGATCAAATTCCAACTCCAAAATCAAATCAAGATATTTTTAAAAGAAAAAAATCACCACAAAAGATTTAAATATACACTTTTTTATTGCCCAGTACTTTCATGATTTTTTGCTACCATTTTTTTCTTGATTCTTTTTTGATTTTTTTTTAATTTTCCTAATAGGATCTTTAAATAGACCTTTAATCCTAATCTTATCAATACAAGGTTTTCTTGATTTCAATTTCCTAATCAAACTCAATCTTGTATTTTCAATACAAGTCTTTTTCTTGTCCTTTTTCCCAAATACACTTCTTTATCAATTAAACTTTCAATTCAACATCCCAATTTCATTCTCGACCAAATTCTCTTTTTTTGTTTCTTTTTTTTAATTAATCAAATTACTCAAAATAAAACTAGAAAATAACAATAAAAATAATCTAACCTACAAACATTTAATCTTAAAATATAAAATTAATCCTAGACTAAATGGGATATCTATAGGTATAATGGATTATCAGCATTTTTGTTTTAGACAACAACCTCCTCAACCACTACTTTCCCTTTATTTTGATTTTTCAATAACTCAACTATGTTTTCCAATTGCCCTTTCATCTCCAAAATGTGCAATAATATAAGAAAAATCATGCAAAAATACTATACAATAATATAAAAATCTTGTAACATTAAAATTCACATCAATTCTTTTTTTTTTTTTTTGTTTTCCTTATTATTAATCAAGAAATTCAATCATATACTAAAAATAAAAAATATAATATATAAATAACAAAAATAACCAAAAATAGAATAAAACATAAAATGAAATAAAAATAAAATAGAATAAAAGAAGTACGAAAATAAAATACCTACAAACATGTTAGACCTACTCGGTTGAGTGCGGGTCACCTACATAAAAGGGGTCAGCAAAGTACCTTTTTAATCTCCAATAATATCGTTTTCTTTTTTACTTTAACGACAAAAAAGTAAAAATTTCCATTCATTTTCATTTTCGATATCTTTCCCTAGGCTTAAGTACTCTCCTTATTCTTTCAAAATTTTAGAATAAAACCATTAGAACTATAAGAACCCAAATACCGATGACCTTTCCTAAAATATGACAAACCCACTGTTGCCTCTACTACTAGATCACTACTTGCCGCTATACATTGGTGACCGTGAAATCCTAAATAACCCTTTTCCAAGTCTCCTTGAGCTCCCATTTATGTTTTTCAAACTAGTTTTTTTTTTTTTAAATTCATCTCAATTAGCCTAAATCTATTATCAAAATTGCAACCTTTTGTCATTGGAATGCCTTCCAACCATCAACATCTTCTTCACACCAATAACATTGTTCCTCTCTTTCCCTAAACCTTTAAAACTGACCCTAAACCTTAAGACTAAAACTAGCTCCAACCATTGTTAATGACCACCAACTCTAGCTTCAATTAGATGGATCAAGTGTTTTCAAAGAAAATAAGACTTGACTCAAAAGCTTGTTTCTAATATTTTGTCTTGAGCTATTTTAAGGTGAATAAAATATATTTTTTTATTATTTATTTAGTTTTATACACATATATGAATTATATTAATAAAGTAATTTTTTACCTTAATTTAAGAAATTTATGTTTTAAAGTTAATATGAGATGTCAATGTAACACACTCAACTACTTTTTTTTCCCTTTTTTACTCATTTTTAGTTTTTTCTACTTTATTTCATTTATGCTTTTTCCACTTTTTGTACCTTTTCGGTATTTTTTAAATTAATTTTATGAGAAAATGGAGTTAATTAAGATATCCACATTTCATTCTTTTTTTTTTAATTTGATAAATTTTGCAAAAAAAAAAAAAAGTGAATAGATTTGACAAAACAAAAAAAAATTAACTCGCAATTAGACCTAGCAATTCAAAATACGATATGAAAATAATATGAAAAAAATGAAAATAAATGAAAATCAAAAAATATATTTTATATTTTTCGTGTCAACGCAAATTCTTTATACAACAAGAATGTAAAATTACCAGATCTACCTGTGGTTAAGTGCGGGCACCTTTCAATGCATATAAAATTTACATTATTAAAGGGAGGAACCTTGAAATTCAAGAAAGAATAAAGGTGATAAAGAAAAGAATAAAAGAAAGGAAAAAATAAATATTCACATGATTAAGTCCACTTTTTAAATTATACAAAATATATTTATTTTGTCTTTAACTAGAAAGTAAGTTTTTATATTTTAAAAAATTCTTTATTAGACAAATGTGTGCTACGTGTAGTATACTGAATACAAATCTTAATATATCAAAGACAAATCTAAAACTATTGATAAATAATTGGTTTAACATAGGTTTAATATAAAATTTTAATAGACCTCATTCAATTTTGAATTATTATTAGTTAGTTATAATATAACAATTGTATGTGATATACGTTAATTTTAAATGCACACCTCATGATTATAATTGGAGCATATCATATATAATTATTACATTATAATTAATCAATTAAAATTTAAAATTGTGTATGCTCCATTAAAATTTTATATGGATCTCACACTTATAAATAATAAATCTTATATAAATTTTTTTTTGTAATTGAATAATTATAAAATTATAATAAAAATAATTGTAAGTGAAATACATCCAGTGTGTTAGGCCAAAAAGTCCCAATCCAATCACATTAGTAAAGCGAAATCAAATAATCAATCAATCACATAAGAAATAACAATTTAACGTGGTTCGATCCAATCAACCTACATCCATAGATGAGAAACAAGATTCACTAGTTGTAAAGAATTACAAACATACATCAAATCAATCTCACTCAACAATCAATTCCCATAAGCTCTCTCAATCTCCTTTAATCCTATTGAGTATTCTCAACCTAAACAAACAAAAATTCATGTGCACCCTTTCAACATAACCAAACACATACTAGTATGTACCAATACATTATATCTATGTGGACCCTCTTAGTCTCTTCTAGTCCACTCACAAATAAACATACACACCCATAAAACATAAATCTTCAGTAGTCTTATGGGGTGTATACCCTTAAAACTTTACAACTCTTTTATATCTTTTTTCTCATACCTAATCCTATAGAGACTTTACCTATTTATAACCATACAAATTTATCTATTAATAATCTTTTTCTTTTTAGAATTCTTTTTCTGCAAGTCCTTTTGTCCATCAAGTAATATCTAATAAATCTCAAACAAATCTCTTATGGGATTTGAGTCACTATTCCTAACAATCTCCACATTGACTCAAATTTCATCAAATAATCTATTTTCATACTAGACATACCTGGTTTTATCTGCAATGAAAGTCTCACAATCATCTTCTCTTATGTGTCATCACACTTCATATAAACTGATCTTCAATCCTCAAAACTTGAACTCAAACTCTTCTTTTGAATCGAGGTCCTTTGGACTTACCTCTTCTCATGTCTCGAATTATACTGTGATACCACTTGTTAGGCTAAAAAGCTTCAATCTAATCACAAAGTTGTAGAGAATTACAAATATACATAAAATCAATTTCACTCAACAATCAATACTCATAAACTCTTAATCTCCTCTAATCCTACAAAATATTCTCAACCCAAACAAACATAAACCTACGTGCACTTTTTCAATACAATCAAATACATACCCATATGCATTCATACATCATACCTATAGAGACCCTCTTAGTTTTTTTTAGTCCACTCACAAATAAACATACACACCCACAAGATGTAAATATTTAGTAGTCTTATGAAGTGTCTATCCATAAAACTCTACAACTCTCTTACATCTTTTTCTCATACTTAATCCTATAGAGACTTCATCTATTTATAACCATACAAATTTGCTTATTAAGAATCTCTTTTCTTTTAGAATTATTTTTTTGCAAGTTTTTTTGCCCATCAAATAATATCTAAGAAATCTCAAATAAATCTCTTATGGGATTTGAGTCACTATTTTTAACATAGTGAAAATTTTATTTTTGTTGGAATGATCAAAAAATTTATCTATTTTTGAATTTTTGTAAAAAAACTAACAACTTGATCATAGCTCTTGCAATTGTGTAAACTATAACCCTGACATGTGTGCATTTGTTTTGACTCGAGTAAGTCTATGTGTTTCTTGAATTTAAAATTCATTTTCCATAAAATTTGTTAGAAAAAAAACTCAATATTTAACTAGATAATAAACACACCTATTATTTGCTTAAATAATTTTATTAAATCTCTTTCCTCTAAGTAATAAAAGCATAAAATTAAGAATATGTGAAATAATATATTTTCAACATAATAATATTATTTAGAGGGTATTGTCGAGGAGTGAACCTCTATGCTATGCAACTTTGAGGGTTTTGGTCCCCTCCCCTCCCCTTCCCTTGTGAGTGGGAAAGAATGTTTTTTAATAATACATTAATAAAAAATTCTTAATAATCTTAATTAGTAAGTGGATTTAAGATTTAATAATAATTATTATTATAATTATTTCGCTAATCACAAAATCTTTTAATTATTATGAAAATTCAGACTTACAACACAAAGTAAAACCTTTGGATGTAAAAAACCAAAAAAACCAAAGAGAGAGAGAGGGAGAGAAACAGGATAAGAAATTCTTCTTCTTCTTCTTAAAAAAAAACATCATTGAAAATTCAACAAATTATTCACGAATGGTCGGAAGCGTGGGACGCCAAGCCCTCCTCATCAGCATCCTATGCCTGAATCCAGTCCTACCCGGCCTCAGCGAACCCAGTTCACCTCCCAATCCATTAAGACCACTAAATGGCGTCGCCAAAACAACTTCCGTCTTCCCGCCAAATTTCTCCTTAACAACTTTGCCATCATCATCATCATCATCTTCTAACAATGGAGATGATACAAATAAATCCTTCAAAGTGCGGCCTCTCAAATCCTTGTCGCCCTTCTTTTTCTCAGGTAAATTGCCTATGAAACTCTGTGGATACGACATTTCCCCACAGGTTGATGATTTGCGGCTACTGGTTCTGGTGAGAAGCATTCGCAGAGTGGTTTTAGGACGAGGGAAATTGACCACGGGACTCGTCCTCTGACTTCTTGTTGAACTTTGGCTGACACCACATTGCGTCGCTAATAGCTTGAATTTCTGCAACGTCGCCATTTTTTTTTTCGCGGACCCTCTCTCTCAGTCTCTCTTCGTCAGGTGTAGTGTATCTGATGCGCAATTTAAGTGAAGTGAATTGGAGGATTTGGAATTTGAAACTTGACAAAATGATTGTGAGGTGATTTTCGTCTTGTATTGTTTGCTTCAAAGCAAGAGAAAAGAATCTATGTTGGAGTTTTCTCTGTTGCTTTTTCCTGTTTTGCATGCTTTTTGTTCGGTCTTTTTTACAGTTTCAAAAGTGAACTCTTTGAATGGAATTTTCTTTTCTCTTGGAAGAGATGAAAAGGAAGACCTGAAGAGAGATAGAAAGAGCAAGCGGGGTGCATTTTCCAATAAAATTCTAAAATCATAGAATTGTGGTAGAGAACTGAAAATGACAAAGAAATATCATTTCTAAAATGAAGCTTCGATTTACAGTACCATATATATTTAACCAATCTCCTAAAAATCTTAAAACTCTAATTCCTAACCTCAAAAATTCAGTCGAGGGAAAAAAAATCTAGTATCCTAAAAAAATTTTACAATATTATAAAAAAATGCGATTTGTTTCAAATGATTAAAAATTTATTTACAAATTAATAAATAAAAATTACAGTTTTAATAAAAAGAGCATCCGATTATAATATGTAAATTTTTAAATTTTTTCTAAATTTCAACAATTTTATAAAAAAAAGTGATCGATATTTTTAATAAAATTTTTATGCCACTTAAATGATATTTTTTAAAAAATTTTGAAACTTTTAAAATTTTAAAATTTATGAATTTAGAAAATTTTAAAAGTTTTTTTAAAAAATAATTAAATAATTTTACTAAGATAGTTTAAAAAAAAAAAGCGTGGAAAGCAAAAGCAACGGTGCACCCTATTCTAAAAATCTTGTCTTTGTTTGTGAGAATTAGAAAAGTCCTTTTTGACCCTCCCTGCAGAAACAAGCAAAACAAAAGTTTCCATTCACTTCATCCATGTCAGTGGTGTGCCCGACGACAATAGCATAATTTGTTTGTAAATAGCTGAACTTTTAATTTTAACAATTAAGATTTAAATTTTGATAATTTTAAATATTATTATCATAAAGTTTAAGTCAAAGAACAAGGCCATTACATAAAAAAACTGAAATTGTTACTAATATTTTTTATTAAGTGTGATTGATTATTTAAGTGAATTTATCTTTTTTAAAATTATTTTAAGTTTGACTAAAAGATCTTAAAAAATAAATTTTTATTTTATTTTAAAGATTAAATTTGAGAATTGATTATGTATAAAAAATGTTTTAGCAACCTTGCAGCATCTAAAATTGATATTAAGTTAATCTTATATTATTTTATCTAAATTTTAATTAAAACAGATTTTATTTCTTATTTTTATTAATTTTGATATTTAAATACTAAAAAAATCCTTAGGCTTTCAAAAAAAAAAAATCTCACCTCATGAGTATTTTGAAGATAAAATCATTGTTTACTTAAAGAGTTCAATGATTAGATCTATTAAATATTTTATGAAAAAGAACAATTCATTTCCTTTTTATTTATTTACAAAATAATTTTGCACAAAATATTATAAAAAAATCATAAAAGAATATCACAGAAAATATCATAATAAAATATGCAAAAATAATTCATAATGAAATTATGCAAAAAAAAAAATCACAACATAAAATTCATTCAAATTTCTTTTTCTCTTTCTTATTATTAAATCAAGAATAAAATTGAAGAAACATAATAATAAATAAATAAATAAATAAAAAGCAAAAATTAAATTAAATTAAATTAGAAAAAAGTATGTAAAGAAGAATTATCAAAAGAAATAAAAAATAAAATAAAATAAAAAACCTACGATTGAGTTGAGTTAAGAATTAGATCAATGTATAGGTTGCCTAGGTTGAGACAAGGGTTAGAGTCCTCTAGAATGACATCATTTCGTGATTATATAAAAGCAAAAAACCATATTTTTTTCTTATTTTTTTCCTTTCCTCTCTCTTTTCTAGAGCCTAAAATCCTCTTTCTTCTATTTAATATAGATCATAAAAAATTTCAAGAAATCTCAAAAACTTATTGAAAATGCAAATTTTGGTGTTTGAAAATTCAACTTGTAGTCAAAAATTCAAAATTTTCTACAAATCTCTTTGAAACCCCAAAACTGATGACTCATTCTATCGTTAGCCATCATTAATCTTGCCAAAAAATTCAAGCTTTCATAAAAAAATTCAACAAAAACCCAAAAATTCAATAAATAGCAAAAAAACTAAAAACTTTTCTAAAAATTCCCCACTAACCAAAAATTAAAAATTTTAGAAATACAAAAAAGAATCAAAAAAACTTTTCTTTGAACAAACTGAAATTTAAAAACCCTAAAAAAATTGTTTGCACATTGTGTTTGCATCTATTTACTACGTAAATTGCTTAACTACCGATTATTACTTTTTTTTCTTGATTAAGGTGTTGAGCTCATTATAGGGTTGAATCTCTTTTGAGTTTGGAAAAGAATTGAATGATAGAATCTTAACAAGATTCAATTTTAAACACTTTTATGATCTCTTTTTTTTTTTTTTTTTACAAACTTGACTTCCAAGAATTCCAAATACATACTTCAAATTTTAAATTTCAAATCTTTACAAAATTAAATTTTTTTTTATTTTCTTTCGCAATTTCAATCTTGGTTTTTTTGTTTTTACTTTTGACCAAAAACAAAAATAAACAATTTAATAAAAATAAATTAAAAACATTTTTTTGTTGACTTTGACTATTTGATCTGTGGATCAAATAACAAAAATAGTAAAAATAATAAATAAAAATAATAAAATGAATAAAGGCATTTTGGATCTTCATTTTTAGTTCTAAAAGTGCATTTTTCAATTGAAGCCCAATAATAAAATTCGAAGCCCATTTAATGTCTAAAAATTCTTAGATAAAATATGATGTCTACAGTTATACCTCTTTACACATTTTTGTAAAATAAGAATTGTACAAATATAAAATGCATCCATTATGTTCTACCAAAAAAACATTATCAAGGAAAATCTAAAAGACTTCTTCTTAAGAAAGGTTTTAAAACTTTAAAAATCTCAACAAAAAAGCTTCTTATCAACCAATGCATTGAAACTTGAAAAGTCTTATTTATAAAAAATGTTTCTTTCATATAGACAACATTTCTTGTAACTGCATCTTGAAATCCATTTCAAACAAATTCAAAATCTTCTCTTATAACTCATCAACTTTTTTTGCAACGTTATAATTCAAAATCACCAATTTTCTTTTCTATTAAGGTGTATAATGAATGCCATGAATGTTAATAAAGATCAACATCATACACCCTTAGTTTTGGTAAAGATTCTCCTATGACCTAACATGATTCTTTTTTAGGTTTTTCATACAACTGCCTTTAGAATTATGGGATATAAAACTTAGTTTGTTATTGTTGTTATTAATGTATTCTCCTAGCTCTTTTCTTGTTTATTGTTTTTTTTTTCTTCTTTGTTCTTGACAAATTCTTTTCTCTTCTTTTTCATTTTCCACAACTCATAATGACATGCCTCAGAAAATGATATGAATGCAAATGTCTCTATCCAAAATTTAGACTCAAACGTTTATTTTATAAATACAAATGCAAATGTAAATATTTATCTCATTGACTCAAATGGAAACATTCAAGATAAAATGAAAATGTTTTATTTTAAAAAATTTACAAACACGGTGATTTGTAATTTTCTTTTCTTTTCTATTTTTAAATGTATTCGCTAATCTTAACTGGCAAATTTAATAATTGATGTCATTATTTGTAAATGCAAATGCTCTCTAAATATTACAAAATGCAACGATCACATAATGATTTAAATGAACATTTTTAAAAAAAACCACAGCAATTGCCCCACAACTATTTTCCTTGATCAAAACAAAAATCAAATTTTCATTATTCCTCTTAAAAATTGGTGATCTAATCTCTTAAAAATTAGTGATTACTATCAATATTTGGTATGTCAAGATAGATAAGATGGTTTGGCATGGTTTTTGATGTTAGGACTATTACTAAGAAGAAGAATATTAATGTTTCCTCATTAGGCTCACAAATGAAAAGCAAGTTTTCAAACTTTTGACCAAAGGAATAGAAGCACAATTCATTTTAGCACTATCTTAACTTTTTGATGTGACATTTTAATGAATGTCAAGACTAGTTAAAATATGCTCAAATTTTCTAAAAAAAGAAAAAAATGAAGGTTCAAAATTTTGAACTTAAAAAAACGGCTAATCTTCTTGGGTTTTTAAAAATTTTCAAATTTTCATTGGTTCATTCAAAATGCCTTCTTCTAATAAGTTTTTACTTTGTGTGAAATTGCATGAGTTGCTTTCAAAGTTTCAATCTTGTTTTAGACTGCCTTTTCGTGTTTTTACCCTAAAACATCACTTTTTCTTTTTCTTTTTTTTTCTTTTTTCATGTTGATTATTTCAACATGTGTTAAGAATTCAAAATTCATCCAAAACCAAATGGTGACGATGATTTCCTAAGTAAAAGGCTTTTCAATTTAGGTATTCACATTTAATCAAAATGGACTGTTTAAAAGACGTAACAAAAGCAAAGGGTTTAGGTTTTGAAAAAAAAAAGATAAATATGCCTAAAAAATGTGTTCAAAGGTAATCAACCAAGCATTATTTATTTGCCTAAGGGCATTTTTTTTCTCATCTTTTTTTCTTTTCTCTTTTTACCTTTTTTGCTTTCATGATACACTTTAGACAAATTGAGTTCAAAATTTTAGAATTCTATTTACTACAAACTTGTCTTTTGACTATAGGTATTTTTTCCTTATTCTTAGCTTTGGATTTAATATATTCTCAAATAGATCCTCATTTATGCTTATGTCCCAGTGTGGTAGGTGATCATTGTTAGGGTTCATTTAAAAAGAATTTAATAGGCTTAAAAGGGCAACAAATGGATATTTTCTTTTGTGAAAGGAATATGAAAAATGGTTATTTATCATATCAAACATGGTATTCCATTGAAAAGAAAT